TTTTTTTTTTTTTTTTTGGTTGTAGCCGTCATTGTTGTTTGGCGGGCCGGGCTGGATTCTAACCGGCCACCTTAGGTATATGTGGCTGGCGCCTTAGCCACTTGAGCCACAGGCGCCGAGCCTGAGATCTTTTTTTAGATATTGCTCCTTTAGCATACCCTCAGCATGTTCCCAGTGGAACTACCTACATTTCTCTTCATTGGTGGTTCTTAGATGGGAGTAATGTTGCCTTCCAGGGGACATTTGGCAATGTGTAGAGACATTTTTGGTTGTAACATCTGAGGGGGGAAGGATCGGTACTACTGGCACCTAGAGGGTAGACACTAGGGGTGCTGCTGCTAAACATCTTAGACTACAAAGAGCAGCCTCCCACAATAAAGTTTTATCAGATGGCTCGGCTGTGGCTCAAGTGGCTAAGGTGCCAGCCACATACACCTAAGGTGGCCGGTTAGAATCCAGCCCGGCCCGCCAAACAACAATGACGGCTGCAACCAAAAAAAATAGCTAGGTGTTGTGGCGGGTGCCTGTGGTCCAGCTACTTGGGAGGCAGAGGCAGAGGCAGGAGACTTGCTTGAGCCCAGGAGTTGGAGGTTGCTGTGAGCTGTGATGCCGCGGCATTCTACCCAGGGGGATAGCTTGAGGCTCTGTCTCAAAAAAAAAAAAAAAGTTTTATCAGATCCAAAATGTCCATAGTGCCAGGGTTGAGAAATGCTGCTGTAAACTGATCAGTTTTTTTTGTTTGTTTGTTTGTTTTGTTTTCAGTTTTTGGCCAGGGCTAACCTACCACTTCCGGCATATGAGCCCGGCACCCTACCCCTTTGAGCCACAGGTGTTGCCCAACTGATCAGTTTTAAACTATAGTATTTATTTTTTGTTAATAGCACTACATTTTTCACATTTTTCAGGGTAAAAAGAACGTGTGGGTGTGAGAGACAGAGAGAAGATACTCTGATTCAATCTGTTACCAAAGCATGTTTCTGCCATTTTGTGTTCTATTCTGCAGTGACCTTATACTGAATCTTTTCTGTGGTGTCATTCTCTTGTTGTCATTTCTTTCCAATCCAACTTATATATCCCCTATTTGACCACCCTCAGATACTATTTTTCCCATTAAAAACTGGCTTTTTTTTTGGAGACAGAGCCTCAAGCTATCCCCCTGGGTAAAGTGCTGTGGCACCACAGTTCACAGCAACCTCCAACTCCTGGGCTCAAGCGAGTCTCCTGCCTCAGCCTCCCAAATAGCTGGGACTGCAGGTGCCCGTCACAATGCCCGGCTATTTTTTTTTTTTTGGTTGCAGCCGTCATTGTTCTTTGGTGGGCCCCGGCTGGATTCGAACCCACCACCTTAGGTGTATGTGACTGGCGCCTTAGTCACTTGAGCCATAGGCGCTGAGCCAAAAACTGGCTTTTTATTGGCTGCTGAATCAACTATACGTAATTCTGGATGGCTTCAAAAGTCTTCTATAATGTGACTCCATCTCCTTACCTAATTTAATTTAATTGTTTTATTAGCCAATAGTTTTTTTTGTGTTGTTAATTGTTTTTTTTAATTAGAATCTTGATCTTGTCAACTGGGATAGAGTGTAAAAGTGCCATGGCCTCAGCCTACCTCATAGCAACATCAGACTCCTGTTCTCAAGCAATATTCCTGCCTCAGTCTCCCCAGTAGCTGGGACTATAGGCATGTACAACTATGGCTGGCTAATTTTTTCTGTTTTTAGTAGACCTTTTCAGAATTAAGCAAAATGCATGGTATATTCTGCCAGAAACAGAAACATGTTCTTTTGTCTGTATTTCTGTATAATGTGGCACTGCTATGGGTTCTTTACCATTAGTTCCCTTTTATAAATTGGTATTGTCAGTGGAAGAAAGAAATATTTCTAGATGAAAATTCCTTCTACTTGTGATTATTGCAGTTTTAACCTGAAAGAAATGTAAAAGCTTTTATTATTCTTTCTTACTGCTGGTTCCTCTGACAAGTAAGATGGGAATACTTAAGGCAATCATTCTGCCTCACCTTTTTTTTTTTTGAGACAGAGTCTCACTTTGTTGCCCCCAGTAGAGTGCTGTGGTGTCATAGCTCACTGAAACCTCAAACCTCAAGAATTAAGCAATTCTTTTGCCTCAGCCTCACAAATAGTTGGAACTACAGGCGCCTGCCACAATGCCTGGCTATTTTCTTTTTTTTTTTTGAGACGGAGCCTCAAGCTATCCCCCTGGGTAGAGTGCCATGGCATCACGCTCACAGCAACCTCCAACTCCTGGGCTCAAGCGAGTCTCCTGCCTCAGCCTCCCAAGTAGCTGGGACCACAGGCGCCCGCCACAACGCCCGGCCATTTTTTGGTTGCAGCTATCATTGTTGTTTGGCGGCCCGGGCTGGGGATTCGAACCCGCCACCTTAGGTGTATGTGGCTGGCACCTTAGCCGCTTGAGCCACAGGCACCAAGCCTGCCTGGCTATTTTCTGAGCTCAGGCAATCTGCCTATCTCAGCCTCCTAGAGTGCTGAGATTACAGATGTGAGCCACTGCCCCTGGCCTGCCTCACCTTCTAAAAGTGCTAGGATGACAGGCATGAGCCACCACGCTCAGCTTGATTAGTAAAAAAAAAATTACTAAATTGTTAATTTATATTCTTTGTTGAACACCCAGAGTAGATATTCAGGATAATTTAAAATTAATAATGTTAGCAAACTCTTAATTTAATTGTTCGCTTATTGTCAATGAAGAAAATTAGTAGAATTACTTGTATTTGTTTTGTTTTAGGAAAGAACTTTTAATGAAATACACCATCCGTTGTGAAAGTAGAAGGTGAAGATTTCATCATGCCTGCTGTGGCTTCAGTTCCTAAAGAACTCTACCTCAGTTCTTCACTAAAAGACCTCAATAAGAAGATAGAAGTTAAACCAGAGAAAATAAGCACCAAGAGGTATAAATTGTTGCTAGTTTGAGTGACTCATGTATTAAATTTATTTGTTTCCATATTTTTCTTTCTTTCTTTTTTTTTTTTTTTTTAAGAGACAGTCTCACTTTGTCACCCTGGGTAGAGTGCTGTGGCATCACAGCTCACAGTAACCTCCAGCTCTTGGGCTTAGGAGATTCTTTTGCCTCAGCCTCCCAAGTAGCTGGGACTACAGGTGCTCACCACAACACCCAGCTATCTGTTGCAGTTTGGCTGGGGCTGGGTTCAAACCCGCCACCCTCGGTATATGGGGCCAGCGCCTTACTCACTGAGCCACAGGCATTGCCTTGTTTCCATATTTTTCAAGTTAGATAGTTAATTTAAAGTTTATTTTAAAAATGACTCCATGAAATGAATAAAGTAAAACCTCCTTAGAGAGCCACTTAAGTTTATCTTAGCAGATTACATATATATTCTGCTAATATGCATATTACCTGCTCTCTGGACAGTATATACTAGATCATAAGTTTAAGAGGCAAAGATTATTAGAGTTCTATGAAAATTATTCAGCCACAAGTCATTGTTTTTTCACATATTTTAAGCTCATAATAATTTGAGATAGCATCGCATTGCATTGTCCTCGGTAGAGTGCTGTAGCATCAAAGTTCACAGCAACTTCAAACTCTTGGGCTTAAATGATTCTCTTGCCTCAGCCTTCCAAGTAGCTGAAACTACAGGCACCCACCACAACACCCAGCTATTGTTTTTTTTTTTTTTGAGACAGAGCCTCAAGCTGTCACCCTGGGTAGAGTGCTATGGCATCATAGCTCACAGCAACCTCCAACTCTCAGGCTCAAGCAAGTCTCCTGCCTCAGCCTCCCAAGTAGCTGGGACCACAGGCACCTGCCACAACGCCCGGCCATTTTTTGGTTGCAGCAGTCATTGTTGTTCGGCTGGGCTGGATTCAAACCCACCCCCTTAGGTGTATGTGGTTGGCTCTTTAGCCATTTGAGCCACAGGCGCTGAGCCAACGCCCAGCTATTCTTTAGAGATGAGGTCTTAACTCTGACTCAGGCTGGTCTGGAACCTCTAAGCTCAAGCAGTCTACCCGCCTGGCCTCCTAAGTACTGGGATTATAGGTGTGAGCCACTGGGCCCAGCCAATTGCATAGGGATATCTTAATGAGTCATTTTGTAAAGGAAAGAAACAGAAGATGAGAAGAAAACAAAACGTAAAGAATGAAGAGAGTGGTAGAAACTTCAAAGAAGGTCAAGAAGGAAAATCTTGGCTTCGTGCCCATAGCACAGAGGTTATGGTGCTGGCCATATGCACCGAGGCTGGCGAGTTCAGCCTGGGCCAGCTAAACAACAATGACAATAACAACAAAAACAAAATTGCCAGGCGTTGTGGCAGGCACCTATAGTCCTAGCTACTCAGAGGCTGAGGCAGGAGAAATGGCTTGAGCCCAAGAGTTTGAGGTTGCTGTGAGCTGTCATGCCATGGCACTCCATCGAGGGTGACAAAAAATAAGGGAAAAAAAAGGAAAATCCAAGAATGAACTGATATTTCTAAACATTACTAACGACAAAATGGGCTTTCTTGGTTTTTTTTTGAGATGGAGTCTCCAAGTGCCACCCTGCATAGAGTGCCATGACATCATAGATCACAGGAACCTCCAACTCAAGCTCAAGTGATCCTCTTGCCTCAGTTTTTCTATTTTTAGTAGAGACAGAGTTTTGTTTTTGCTCAGACTGGTCTCGAACTCGTGAGCTGAAGCAATCTACCCACCTCGGCCTGCCAGAGTGTTGGGATTACAGGTGTAAGTCACCTTGCCTGGACTTTTTTCTTTTTTTTGAGACAGAGTTTCACTTTGTTGCCCTCTGGTAGAGTACCCTGGCATCATAGCTCATAGGAACTTCTAACTTTTGAGTCCAAGCAATTCTCTTGCCTCAGCCTCCCAAGTAGCTGGGACTACAGGCACCTGCCACAAAGCCTGGCTATTTTTAGAGATGAGTTCTCACTCTGGCTCAGGCTGGTTTCAAAAAACTTGTGAGCTCAGGTGATCTACCCACCTTGGCTATAGGCATGAGCCACTGCGCCCAGCCCAAAATGGGCTTTTGATAAAGAAATCTTTTGACCAATTTGATGAAAATATTTCAGATTGTATATAAAACCAGCACACTGTACCCCATGACTGCATTAATGTACACAGCTATGATTTAATTAAAAAAAAAATCTTTTGGGGGACAGGAAGAATGAGGTATTGGGGTAAGTTAATAATGTTGATGAGGTGAAAGAGAAAACTGTTTAACTCCTACTGAAAGATTTTCAAACAGGAAACAGTGAGAAAGGTAAAGCCAACTTTAAGCTTTCTCCAAGCTTAAAGACAGGCTGGTCTTTAAGAGCAAACCAGAGGCAGGTCTTTCCTTTCTAGCTGTCTGGTTTATCTCTAGGAGTGCCCTTATCCCAGAGGAAGTGATAATGTACAAGCTGGTTGTATCTAAACTTAACATCTGACAGTGTACCAATTGCGTGTGTCCATTCTGAAGTAGTATAACTTAAATCATGAAATTTACTTTGTCAAAGTAAAATTTGATAAAATTTACTTTATCTGTGGACTTCATATATGAGCTGTATTTTTTTCCAGATGTCATGTGTTTTAATTACTTTTTTCTCTGATTTTAAGTTATGTACAAAGTGCCATGAAGATCTTTAAGACAGCAGAAGAAAGCAGATTAGATCGTGATGAGGAAAAAGCCTATGTACTGTATATGAAATATGTATCTGTTTATAATCTCATCAAAAAAAGACCTGATTTCAAGCAACAGCAGGTACCTTTTATTTTTGCATTTTTATTTACTAAGTTATTTTTGCATAATGGAACTCTTTATTTTCTCTAAGAGTTCTAACAATGAAATTTAGATCATATTATGCAGCATTAAATTCAAACTTTTATTAGAAAAAGCAACTAAAGATGTAGTTTCATTATTTCTGAATGTGTGTGATGTGTGTGTGTGTGTGCACTTACACACACACTCTTGATTTGCTTTGGGTTAGTACAAGTTTATAGCAATATACGGGCTCATTTCTTTTTTGTTGTAATTAATCATTGCCAAGTGAAGCAGAAGGGTTGAGTTTACTCGTGCATTAAATAAGAAAAATATGTTTTTGATTATACTTTCCCAAAATTCAAGGTTTAATTAGTTGTTTTTGTGCAGTATCTTTTTATATTTGACTGACATTAAGAGCCATATTAAAGATAGTGATCTTTTAGGCTCGGTGCCTGTGGCTCAAGTGGCTAAGGCGCCAGCCACATACACCTGAGTTGGCGGGTTC